GCGGCCAGGGTGGCGAGACTTGATCTCACACACTTTGGACGCGTTGTCCGGAGAGACCAGGCCCTGGAGAAGGACCCCATCCGTGCTTGGGAAAGTGGAGGGGAAGGCCCTCTACCAGATGGATGGACACCGTGGCCGCAGCCGTGGGCTCGGGCCTAGAGACAATTGGACACAAGGATGCTATGGGTCGGAACCAACTGGCTAGCCTCTAGCAGCGACAAGAACTCTGTTGGAGGCACGGAACAAATCTTGAGGGACCAAAGTCTCTTGTTCTTAAGAAGCTGATGTTGGAAGGGGAGTGAGGAGGAGAGAAAGGTTGGAAGGTGGGGTGAGGAGGGGAGGAAGGGGGAACCGATGGCGATGATGGACACATAACCTCGCCCCCCACCACCCCTGCCCCTGACGAACAATAGAAACCATGGGGGAAGGGAGGCAGAGGTCAATGTAAGATTTGAAAATAATAATAATTTATGATTTATTAAGGGGCCACGGGGTGGGGAGAGGGAGAGGGGGCGGAAAGAGGAGCTGACACCGAGGGCTCAAGAGAAATGTCTAGAAAATAATGATGGCAACGTATGTACGAGTGGGCTTGTTACACCGGATGTATCCATTGTTATAAGAGCTGCAAGAGCCCTCAATAATGTGATTTAAGAGTAGAGGACGCAGCCACAGCAGCTGGTGTTCTAGTGGGGCAGACGGGTGGTGAACAAGATCATGAAGGTCAAGATAAGGGTGGTTTCAAGAATGAGGGGTGGGATAAGAGCCGACAAAGCTGGGCATAGACAGGACTGGGGGAGGGCTTTGCGTTGCCATTTTGAAAAAGGGAGTTTCAAGGAAGGATCCAAGGAGGGGGTGACACTTGCAGAGGGAGATGAAGGTGGTGAGGGCGTGCACCTGGCAGGTCAGAAGAGCTCCATCCAAGAGAAAGGTGCCTGGTTGGCATAGTGACTTCCGAGTTGGGCTCCTTGCCACCAGGTGGGCAATTCAAACCCACTGGGCGCCCCTAGGGAGAAAGTTGAGGCTGTCTGCTACCATAATGCTGTCTATTTAGCCTTGGGAATGCGATGCAGGGTCGATAGGAGTAGAAACCACCCTAGGGCGGTGGGTTTGTGATGGCTTGCTCGTTTGTAATAGATGCGTGTGTATATCGCCAAAGAATCCAAGTCTGATTCAGTTTGACTTTTCCTACTTTTCTGGCCACTCAGACCAAGATTTAGATCTGCGGGGTAAGGGATCTGGAGGGATTTTCAACCTGTGACCCCTGTACTCTCTCTCACAGTTTTTTAACTTTACATATCTACATAGATAACTCGGGTCTAGATATATTTCCTCTTTGGTTTTTAGAATATAGTGAACGGAAAATCAAACTCACTGCCATCCAGCCAATTCCAGCTCATAGTGACCTGACAGGACAGGGTGGAGCTGGCCCCGTAGGTTTCCAAGACTGTCACTATTTATGGCAGTAGAAACCTCATCTTTCTCCCTCAGAGTGGCTGGTGGATTTGAACTGCTAACCTCTTGTGTTAGTCTGGGTAAACTAGAGAAACAAATCCACAGAAATTCATATGTATATAAGAGTTTTATATAAAAGGTAAGTGTACATTAAGAAAGCATCTCCACCCAGTGCTGACCAAGCCCATAATTCCAACATTAGCCCCTATGTCCGACACCGATCTATAAAGTCCTCCCCAATCTCACAAAACACACACTATGATGCCGACTGCAGGAGGAAAGCTGAATCAGTGCGTGTGTAAGCATCTCAGCGCTGGCAAGAGCTCTCCACGCAGCTGCTCCAGCACCCAGGGGTGCATCAGGGTGGGTCCACGTGGCTTCTCCTCAGGGATGTCTGGCAGGAAGTGAGTCTTGCCAGCTGAAATAAGGAACTGGCTCAGGCAGCTGCACCCTGGTCTGACCATCAGAAAACAAGAGACCTAAGAACTAGAAAGGCGAGGCTCACCGAGCCATTCATCTCTCTGCCCTTCAATTAATTCCACATGTGTTTATCGGCCAGGTTGGCACAATAAACCTTAACTATCTCACCTCTCTATCAGCAAGCCAAAGCATAACCGGCTAGGACACCACAGCTCCTTCTTGGAATATAATCGTTACAAAGAACTTCAGTCTGTGGAGTTTCGCAGTCCCATCTCACGGAATCAAATCCGTGACCGGATCCACTTAAACCCCTGTCTGTGTTTGTTTCTCTCACCTTCCCTCCATCCCTCCATCCTTTCCTATCCCTACCATCTCTCGCCCCAGGGCTGTGGATTTTTAATCGTTCCTGGAACCGATAGCCAGGCCTCTCTCAGGTGGAGCTCCTGGGTGGGTCTTGACCACTGACCTTCTGGGTGACACTTAGCTGTGGTACCACCAGGGCTGGCATCGATGGAGTTTGGTCTCCTTTCAATATGTGTTCCTGCTCAGGCCCCGGACCTGTAGAAAGGAGCCCTGGTGGCCTAGTGGTTATGCCTCGGGCTGCTAATGGCAAGGGCAGAGGTCAAAAGCCCCAGCTGCTCCTCCAAGGGTGAGGGAGCAGGACGGGACTCGGGCTTCCTACTCCTGTAAACGGTTACAGTCTCAGCATCCTACCCTGTCCTGTAGGGTTGCTTATGGGTCGGCATCGACTTGCTGGCCGTGAGTTTGGTTTGGTGCCTGTAGACTGGAGTCTCCCTGGACATAGAGATTTTTCTTTCGAGATGTTAAAGGAGAGAAAGATGGGTCCTTAATGAACCACTTCCATAGTATTATAAAGGACCAGAAACCACACCCACACATGGAAGACAGGAACCGAGGAAAGCCCAGGTCTCTAGGGCTAACACCTGACATGAGACGAGAGGCCCCCAGGAGGATACCACATGAGTTGAACTCTGATGGGGACTTTCAACTTCAGAACGATGTGGGGAAAAACAAAACAAAACACCTTTCTGTTACTTCAAGTCACCTATTTGTGGTCCTTCCACAGCAGCATTAGGTTATGAAGACTGGAGTTGGTGGTGGTGTCGTGGATGATGCATTGAGCTGCTAACCACAAGGTCAGCAGTTCGAAACCACCAGCAGCTGTGCTGCAGAACAAGGAGGCTGTCTATTCCTGTAAACAGTTTACAGTCTCAGAAACCCACAGGGGCAGTTCTACCCTGTCCTGTAGGGTGGTTATGAGTTGGAATTGACTTAATGACAGTGAGGAGGGAGGTAATGTGGGAGGTACCATGGTAGTATCGTTAGTTAGGTGCTGCCCTACTGACCGTGAGGTTAGGAGTTTGAATCTATCAACCACTCCATGGGAGGAAGATGAAATTTTCTGCTCCTGTAAATATTTACAGGCTCAGCAACCCCCAGGATGCAGGCAGTCCTACTCTGTCCTGTAGGGCCGGTCACTATGCGCTGGAATTGACTCACTCCACAGCAGTGAGTGTGAGTAAGATAATGAGGATACCAGTATAAAGGGCAAGGGATTCTCGGGTACTTCCATCGTTCATGTTTCAAATCACATTATAAAACACCAGGCAATCTGGTTTCTTGTTCCACTAAAATTCGTTCATAGCATTTATCGTCACTTATAATAGGTTTACTATGCCTTAGTGTTAGTACATGTTGCCACGATAGTTCAAGTTTTGTGGCAACTTGGCTGGGTCAGGATTCTCAGTGGTTCTCCGGAGTTAAGACACAATCACCCCCCTCCATGAAATCTAACACAATGTAATCTACAGGGGTGTGGGCTGGTTCCTATATAAAGAGCTGTGAAAAAGTTTGCTACCTTTTTGATGCATCCGGCTTGTCATCTGACCTAGGCTTAATGATAATTACTGTATATACTTGTATTTGTATTGCACACACACACACACACACACACTGCTGTATATATTTGTTATGTACTGTGGTCTTGCTTGCTGATGCTGTCATCTTATCTGCCAACCTTGGGTCAAGCCGCTCATCCTGGGCTCATCAGGCCCTGTAGCTACATGACTCAGGAGAAGTTTGCAGCCTGACATCTCACTTGTGGACTTGGAACTTGTCTGCCTCTACAACGATGTATATTTTCCTCTTGACATAAACCTCTAATATGTATAAACCCAAACTTTACATACTGTCCTCAAATAGGTTCCAACGTATGTCCACCCTAGAGGCCAGAAGAGGACTGCCCCACAGTTTCCAAGGCTGTAAATCTTCACAGAAGCAGACCGGCATATCGATCTCTCGTGGACTGGCTGATGCCTTTGGATCCATGACCTTAACCCATTGCGCCACCAGGGCTCCTTAAAGGGCTTTTGCCAGCACTGTTTCTTCTCCGTTCTGGAAGCCTCAGGCCTCTCCTCCTGCATCTTGCAAGGCACTTCTCACAGTTGCTGCGATTTCATGTACTGTGTCCCCCTCCTGAGGGGAGGGATGGGGTTATAGCTTGTTGACCATCTCAGTTCCATCCAAAACCTCAACATCGAGTGCTAGGCGATTAGTAGCTAATGCGGGCTTAGAGAGTGAGCCAAGGATGGAGATGCTGTGCTCCTACAACTAATTCTGGGGGGAGAGAGGAGGCTTTCTACTCCTGTAACGTGTTACAGACTCGGAAACACACAGAGGCAGTTCTACCCTGTCCTATAGGGTAGATGTCACTGTGAGTCGACATCAACTCGCGGGCAGTGTTTGTTTTGTGTTTAACCATTAACTCTGAGATTTCACGGGCAGAAAAGTGGATCAAAGCACATGAGGCTCTCAGGAGTCCATGGCCTGGTACCAGGAATATGGGGGCTGCAAGTATCGGCAAGGGCCACAAAGTGGAGCTGGTCTCCCATTTCTCTATTAAAGTGAATCCAGGGGACTAGAAATTGAACAAACTTCCGACACACCACCCCCTAAGTAAACTGGGTACCCTTAAGCAGTTACCCAGTTCCCGCTTCTTATGCGCGGCCCCTTTAAGGCTCCCGGAAGCAGGCCGCGGGCACCGGAAGTGAGGCTCCTTATTTCTCCTCCTCACGTGGTGCTAGTGGGAAGTGACGCGTGCGGCCCGGGAGCTGCGGACGCGGAGGCCGACAGAGCTAAAGTCACGGGCGCCGCCGGGTCTCCGGGACAGGTGTGAGCGGGCGAGGGGTCGGGAGCGCGCCCGGGGAGGGCGGGGCCTGGCGCCCCGCGTGGGGGCAGCCCGCGGGGGTGGGGTCAGAATACTCTGCGGGGGGCGGGGACTTGACGCCCACATGGGAAGCTGGAGGGGCGCTGGTGGGGCGGGACCTAATTGAGTGGGCGGGGCCGGGGCGGGCCAAATCTGTAGGCGGGGCAGGAGCTGGAGGTGGGCATCTGGGGGCGGGGCCAGAAAGTTGTCCCTTGGTGTGGGGCGGGGCTAGAGCGTCTGCTGAGAAACTGGGGCGGGGCCAGAGTGTGGTCGGGCGTGCTGGGGGCGTGGCCAGAAAGTTGGCCCGAGGTAAAAGTGAGTGGCGGGGCGGAGCCAGGGGTGGAGCCGGGGGCGGGGCCAAGACGATGCAAGGTAGGTAGGAGGTGGGACCGCGCTGCTGGCAGACGTGCTGGGGGCGAGGCCAGAAAGTTTTGCGGGAATAAGGGGCGTGTCCAGGGCGTTGAAGGGAAGGCTGGAGCTGGACTGTAACCTAGACTAGGGAAAGCAGAGGCGGAGCCAGATAGGACGGAAGAAGGTCGTGGTCGGGAGGATCAGATTGGGCAATTCGGAGGCGTGCCTGGGGAACTGAGGGCGGGGCCAGGGATTTTATTTGCGAAGGCGTGGATGGGTTCTGGACTGGCCCAGGGAGTCAGGGGGCGGGGCCAGCAGGTAGCCAGGGAAATTCGCAAGCCGGTTAGGGGCAGGGCCGCGTCTTTAGGAGCTGGGATGGAAAGCTAGAGCAGCGGGCATAGAACGTCTTGTCCGTGCCAAGGTAGGTCGAATGGTCACCGCGGAGCCCCGCCGGTGGGTACCGGGCACCTTTACGGGCAGCACCGTTCTCGGGATGCTGGTCTAGGGTTGGGACTTCCTGAGGGGAGACTGGGTTTAGAATGCTCCTTTTGGGCTGGGGCAGCGAGGCGGAGCACGTTGTAAAAGGGGGGCGGAGCTAGAAAGTTTGCCTGGATGTGGGTGTGTTCGGGATCCATGACCAGGTCAAGGGGCTTTCTTGTATAGTTTTTTGAGGGGCGGGAAGTGGGGCCTGGAGCTCCGCCTCCAATCCCAGATGTGTGGAGACTGGCTGGGCGCTCTGCTGAGATATATCCCGAAGCAGTGGGGGCAGCCGGAGCATTGCCTAGGTGGGCCTGCAATGTGTCCTTTGGCTGGGCTGGGATTGTAAAGGGTCACCCGGGTGCCGTAAGGAGCCCTGGTGGCGCAATGGATTCAGTGTTGCATTGCTAACTGCAAGATCGGCGGTTCAAACCCACCAACCGTGCCGAGGGAGAATGATCCAGCTGTCTGCTCCCGTGGTGAAGATTTACAGCCTTAGTAACCCTAAGGAGAACAATTCTACTCTGCCCTATGGGGTCATGATGAGTTGTGATCGACTTTAAGGCAGTGAGTGAGTGTATTGGGTAACAAGGAGCTTCCCTGGTGCACTGTAAAGAGCTGGGCTGATGAAAGAAAGCTCCGTGGTTGGAACACACCAGCTGCTGCTTGGGAGAAAGAGGAGGAAGCTACATCTGCCTCCGTGTTACACACCCTTTGTGTCAGTTCTACCTTGCCATGTAGGAGCTCCGTGAGGCAGAACCAGCTGGGTAGGGAGGGGCCATTAGTGAGTCACTGGTAGAATTCTAGCCTTCCAGCACCTCATAGGCAGCCACCCCCTGCCTGTCAGTGGAGGCTTGCGTTTTGATTGTATACTGGGCAGGTTTCAGCAGAGCTTTCAGGTCTGGACCTTTATTGCGAGGTACCAGTTCCGACTCCTGATGCCCAGTGCACAGCAGAACGGAACAACGCCCAGTCTTGCGCCATCTTCACGCTTGATCTTATGTCTGAGCCTAGCGTGGCATCTCCTGGGTCCGTCCAGGGTCTCGTCCAGGGTCTTCCTCTTTTGCACTGCCCAGCAGGATGATCTCTCCTGGCAATATGCCCCAAAGTACTTGGGATGAAGTCTCGCCATCCGTGCCGCCAAAAAGCGTCCTGGCTGTTCTTCGTCTAGCACAGATGTCTCTGTTCTTTCGGCAGCCCGGGGGGCCTTTGTATATTCTTCGCCAACAGTGTCATTCGAATTCATTGATTCATATTCGGACTTGTCTAACTCCCTGTCCAACTTGCGCATGTGTTTGAGGCGATTGAAAACACCTTGGCTGGGCTCAGGCACACCTTAGCCCTCACGGTACCCTCCTTGCTCTTCAAGACTCTAAAGAGGGCTTGCGCAGCAGATTCACCCCACGCTATGTGTCGCGCGTTCTCCTGGCTGCTGCTTCCGTGAGCAGTGACTGTGCAGCCAAGCAAGACAAAGCCCTCGACAACTTCAGTCTCTTCTCCTGACTCAGTGTTAGGACACAGCAGCTTCGTACCAGCTCGCTGCCATCAGGTCAATCCGGAGGCAGTTGTGCACAGACTTCACGGGAGCCAGGAGCCGGCTGCCTCAGCTGTCTTCTGAGGAGGGACTGGGTGGGTTCCAGTTGGCAGCCCTTGGGGCTGGCAGCCCAAGTGCGAGGCCAAGTCCTTCCAGAGAGTGGGGCTTCTAGCACCTCAAAAAGAGGGAGTGGGGTGCGATGTAACAACGATGAGAAATACAACTTTACGCTAGTTCTTAAATGCTTCCTCCCCGCTCCCACTACCATGACTCGAATTCGACCTTGCAAGTCTGGCTAGACCAGAGGAGGTACACTGGTACAGAGAGGAACTGAAAATACAGGGAATCCAGGGCGGATGAGCCCTACAGGACCAGTGGTGTGAGTGGTGAAACAGGGAGGGTAAAGGAGAATGGGTAGGAAAGAGGGAACCGATTACAAGGAACTATGTGACCTCCTCCCTGGGGGACAGACAACCGAAAAGTGGGTGAAGGGAGATGTCGGACAGGGCAAGATATGACAAAATACCCATTTATAAACTATCAAGGGCTCATGCGGGAGGGGGGAGCGGGGAGGGAGGGGAAAAATGAGGACCTAATGTCGGGGGTTTAAGTGGAGAGAAAATGTTTTGAGAATAATGTACAAATGTGCTTTACACAATTGATGTGTATATGGATTGCGATAACAGTTGTATGAGCCCCTAATAAAATGTTAAAAAAAAAAAAAAAAGAGGGAGTGGGATCGAGAGCTGGTGACTTGGAGCAGAATGGCTGGGAGGGGCCGGCCTCATCCCTCTTTGTCCCTTCTCCCCTCAGGAGTGAGCCCCCAGAGCCTCGTGGAGTCTGCAGGTGTGCTGGGTCTCCAGCCCCGGGCAGCCACAGAATGGTGAGATGGAGAGCGGGCTTCCCAGAACCTCTGCGTTGGGGGAAGAGGGAGCAACTGGGGTGCCTAACCCTCAGAGCCTGAGGTGACGCACATTGGGATGGACGGAGTCTTTGGACCAAGCCCCCATTGCCTCTCCCCTTGCAGGCAGCCACCTTGGATCTGAAATCGAAGGAGGAGAAGGATGCCGAGTTAGACAAGAGGATCGAGGCCCTGAGGCGGAAGAACGAGGCCCTTGTGCGGCGCTACCAGGTGCCCTAGCCCCGCCCTGGGAGACCCCACCCCTCTCCTCCCCGCTGTGAGTTTTCCCAGACTTTCACTTTGACCTCCTCGCTCCCACCCTTAAAACCTTTCCATGACACCCATGGCTCCTGGGAGCAATGTTTTAGTCTGGCCTGCCGGCAGGCTGGCCTCCCTCCCTTCCATCCATTATTCATCCATTCACTCACTCACTCACTCACACGTCTTCACCTGGGCCTTCACTGCGCCAGGCCCTGTGCTGAGTGGGACCCGGGGGACCCAGGACCGGGATGTAGGAGCCCAGAAGGGGTGACAGCTGGGGTGGAAGTTTCAGAGCAGGAAAGCGAGCGTTGCATGGTTAGTGGGTTGCTCCCTGGCAGGGGCACTAGCGATTTGTGCTCGACTGTTCATCTGAGATTGGTAGTTCAGACCCACCTGGCAGCACTGCAGGGGAAAGGCTGGGTGAACAGCTTCCGTAGAGGCGACAGCTCAGAGTCCCGCTGGCTTCACTATCGAGGTGTGCCATGAGTCGGGATCGCCGTGATGGCAGTAGGTCAGGCTTGTGGTCTGGTTGTCGAATGTGGTGTAGCAGGGCCCCAGGGGCTACCTGTGAATGTGGGCATACTCTCCTGAGGGCACTGGGGAGCCACGGGGGGCTTTGAGCTGGGGCAGGGCCCTGTCAGAACACCCTTTCAGGAAGATCCTGCCAGCGGCTGGTGGGTGGTGGATGCTCGGAAGGTGATCATGCTGGAGACCAGGTGCCAGACAGGCAGCAGAGGGGAGGGAGAGGAGGGGGCGGATTCACCAGAATACTCTGGGCAGAAGGATGGGACTGGGAGGAGGAGGGGAAAAGAGGGGAGGGGAGGGGGCAAGAGAAGGGAGAGAGACCCAGGTCTTTGTCTAAGGTGATGGGAACCTGGGCAGAGGAAGGGGTTCCCAGGATTTATTCATTCAAAGCAGAGCACCAGCTGGCTGGCCTCCTGTTGTGTGCTGGGCACTGTTTGAATCTCCAGGGTGGGGGTCATATCAGTGAGCAAGGCCGGAGGCCCTGCCCCCCAGCAGAAAGGAAGGCAGCAGGCAAGCAGAAACCACATGACAGCAGGGAGTGGGGAATAGAGGCAGGCTGGCCAGGCAGGCCCAGTCTGGCCAGGGACAAGGCAGCTGAGCCCTAGAGGAGGTTGGGAGGAGAAAGCGTTAGGAAGTGTGTTCCTGGCAGAGGGAAGAGCACATGCAAAGGCCCTGGTGTGTTCTGGGAGCATGGACACGGCAGTGGCTCTCCTCGGGGAGGCTGGGAGGAGGGCGCAGGACCCTGTCAGTTGTGGGGTGGGATTGGTTTGGCTGGTACACAGGTGGGTAACATGGGAGGGTCCTGAGTGCTCTAGTGCTCAGGAGAGAGGCCTGGGTCCGGGTGCAGTGTTACGGCAGCCCAGCTGGCCCGGAACCCTGAGACCCCACCCTCTGGCTCCAGGAGATCGAGGAGGACCGGAAGAAAGCTGAGCTGGAGGGTGTGGCGGTGACAGCACCCCGGAAGGGCCGCCTGGTGGAAAAGGAGAATGTGGCGGTTGAGATGGTGAGCTGGACACCAAGGGGGGTTGGGGGGTGGGGACTCCTGAGGGCGAGGAGGCCCGGAACCCAGGAGCCTGTGGGTGGCCTCCATCCCGGCAGCTGCCTTCCCTGGCCTGGGATCTCCCGGGCACCCTGCTCTAGTGACGACCCTTTTGCCCCTCCTCTCTCAGGAGGCATCTCTGGGTCCCTCCCGGAGGTCCCCTCGGCCCCCAGGGCCCAGCAAAGGGAGCCGGCCCTCCCCGCAGCGAGGGGGCCAGGCTGGTGCAGGTCGCGCAGCCCGCAGCTGGGAGGAGAGCCCGGGGGAGCAGCCTCGAGGAGGGGCCAGTAGCCGTGGCCGGAGAGGCCGTGGCCGGGGAGCCCCTCATCTCGACGGGAGTGGAGATGCCCCCGCCACTGCCACTGCTGACCGTAAATCCAAGGTAGGAGTTGGCAGGGAGCTGGGTCCTCTGCCGGGCGACCCCCTGGTGTGTTTCCTAATGTCCCTGCACACACTTTCTCTCAGCCAGGGCTGAGGCCCCTCGTGTGGCATGCCAGCGTGCCTGTCTGCCTGTCTGTCTGTCTGGGGCTCCCTCTGCCCTCCCTTCACCTGGCTCGGTGGCCTCCCTTTCCTGACCAGGCCCCTCCCTCTCCCCGGCTCACTTTTTCGATCTCTCCTTTTCCTCACTCTCGAGTGTGCTTTTCCCCCTCATTCCCCTGTCTGTCTGTCTGTCTGTCTGTCTGCTTCTGTGCCTCCCATGTGTCTGTCTCCCTGTCCTGTCTGGTGTGCTCGGTGAGTGGCCTGGGTGATCTCTGCCCGTGTGATCTGCCGCCATCCCTGGTGGGGAGCGAGGGCTTTGCCTACAGGTGAGCAGGGCAGAGACGTCCGTCCAGCATGGCGGCCTATTGCCTCCCTGGACAACCTGCTCTCGTTGTCGGGCACCCTTGGGCAGCCCCCTCCCTCTTGCTGAGTCTCTGGACCCTTACTTTGGGGCACAAGGGAGGACTCCCCTCGAAGATGACTAAACGGCCTGACCTTGATGAGCTGGTGGGGGGTCTGCTGCTAGAACAAGACCCCAAAACACCATGGCTGAAGGAAGGGGTGAGTTCATTTTGCTCATAGGCTGAGCCCCACAGAGAGGTGAGCAGCCCAGGTGAAGCTCACTTGCCTGGTCCAAACCAGGTCCCTGATGCCCCTGGGGTCTGGCTCACGGGATGTTCACCGGGGTTCATCACCGCTCGGCGTTCTGTTGGTGGAAAGCCAGGCAGCTGGCTGTATCAAGCCACGACCGCGTCACCCCAACAGAAACCAAACCAAGCTCACAGCGACCCTAGAGGACGGGGTAGAAGTGACTGCTCCCTGGGCTCCTCAGGCTGAGTCTTTCCTGAGACAGCAGTTTACCTTTCTCCTGAGGAGCAGCTGGAAGGCTTGAACTGCTGACCTTTCAGCCGGCTTGAACTCATTAGTTGCTTGGTGTCCCCCAATCTTGTGTCCATTTTTTTTTTGGGGGGGGGCGTTTTGTTTTGCATACCTACAAAGGACCTGCCACCTCAGGGCACAGTCGCAATGATGTGCGACTCTCACTACCCTGTTTCCAGAACTTTCTGTCACGCGCTGCAGTGGCCCCCCCTCCTGCCCCTGGCAGGTACTAGGCATTTGCCTAAACTCGACAGTTTGCGTGAGCTGGGTGGCATGTGCCCTTCTGTGACCAACAGATGTCACTCGGCAGGTTTTCCTGGTGCGTGCAGTGGCACGTGCCCGGGCCCCCTCACTCTCTGACTGAGCCCATGGCCGGGAGAGGCCCCACTCTGTGTATGCAGTCACCTCGGGCCGTTTACACCCTCTGGCCCTCGTGAACAGTTAGTGCCACCGTGGACGTGGACGCACTGAGTCCCTGCTTTGAAAGCTGCCAGGCCTGGACTGTGGCTAGGGAGTTCCCCGAAGGGACATGCTAGCCCAGAGACTAACAAGCCTGCAGGCCGAGCGGGACGGACTGATGGGTGTCCCTCTGTCCGGTCCCCACCCCCAGGAGTGGGAGGAGCGGCGCCGGCAGAACATCGAGAAGATGAACGAGGAGATGGAGAAGATTGCCGAGTATGAGCGCAACCAGAGGGTCAGTGCGCCCGTGTCCCGCCCGCGGGGGGCGGGGCTGCCCACTGATGGACGCCGCCAACGCCTCCCCGTTCCTGTGTCCGTTCGTAGGAGGGGGTGCAGGAGCCCAACCCCGTGCGGAACTTCCTGGACGACCCCCGGCGGCGCGGAGGACCCCTGGAGGAGTCGGAGCGGGACCGCCGAGGGGGCAGCCGTCGGCACGGACGCAACTGGGGGGGCCCCGACTTTGAACGTGTGCGCTCCGGCCTGGAGCAGGAGCGGCAGGTGGGTGCCGGCCTTTAGTTCCTGGATGCTCCGAACTGCCCGGGTGGCAGTGAGTGGGCAGGGCCAGCTAGCCCCAGGTGGGCCAGGCTTCATCTTGCCTGCCGATTGAAGGAGCCCTGGTGGCATAGCAGGTACAGGGACTGGTGGCCAACCGTAAGGTGGGTGGTTCGAACCCACCGGCCACTCCGCAGGAGAAAGATGAGGCTGACAGCGTGCATGCCAGTTTGCAGCCTCAGGAGCCCTGGGGGGCCATTCTCAGCCCTACTGGGTGTCTGTGAGTTGGAATTGGGGACAGTGGGAGGATGCAGTCAGGTGCTGTGGCATCCCGGTGACCCCTTGGTGTCAGAGAGTTGAACTGCTCCATGGGGAAACAGGCTGCCAGGCCTTCCTTCTGCAGCCCGGCCAACCTTTGTGATAGCTGAAAGCCCACCGCTCGTGCGTACCAGGCGGCTCGCTGTGCGGGCCGGGCGGTGTGGCAGTAACCATGTATTTGTGGTGTGTGCTGTCTTTGCTGTGAGGGGTCCGCTGGTGGGGGCAGCAAATGGTTAACGTGCTCAGCTGCTAGCCTAAAGGTTGGCTGTTTGAGTCTGCCCAGAGGGAACTTAGAAGAAAGGCCTGCTAACACCTTCCAGAAAATCAGCCAGGAGGACTGCAGGGGCCTTCCTTGGACACACACACGGGGGCCCCCCCCGCCTGAGTCGAAGGTGACTCGCTGGCGACTGGGATAGGTTGTCACCCACTGGAGCAAGGCCCCCCTGGTTCTTGGCGGAGCATTTGTGGGCACCCACCATGTGCAGGGTCCGAGAGAGGGGGGTTGATGCAACCGGGAGGAGGGAGAGACAAGTTCACCCCAAATGCCAACCCTCGTGCTCATCCCAACGGCCTTAATTATCAATAACTGTCTGACATGTCACCGTCATCTGGTATCATTGACTGGACATTTCCTGGGCACCCACCAGGCTAGCGTTCTAAGTGCCCGATGGCCAGGCCCAGCCCCTACCCTTCTGAGAGGCGTGCTGCTGGGAGGCAAGCCTGCGGGGACAGCCGCAGTGTCCTGCCTGTACAGGTGGTCCCCGGCTTAAGGACATCACTGCAGGCTCCTTGCAGACCCTTAGAACATACAGTGTTGCCGGATGTAGGGTAGCCGGCGGCCGTCTCCATCCCCAGACGTTTGCTCCCACACTGTCAGCCCGCTGTGGTCTGGTCCACAGTGGATTGGAGCCCTGTCGTAAGCCGGGGCCTTCCTGTCTATGAGGCATCGGGGAGCGGCAGGTGTGGGGAAGGAAGAACAGACAGGGCAAGGGGATTGAGAGGAGAGGGTGAGCTGGGGCGCTACTGAAAGAGGACAATCTGAGACGGCTTCCTGGAGGCGGTGCCGTTGGCGCAGGCCAGGCTCTAATCCAGCCAGTAGTCACCCTGCGTGGCCTTGGGCAGTGGCTCCATCTTACGAGTTGACAAGGACCAGGGGAGTCAGACCCGCCTGTGGAACAGAGCCCTCCCTGACTGGCTGTTTCCCGGGGGCAGGGCCGCCGGGCAGGCCTGGGAGGTGCTGGTGACATGACGCTGGCCATGACGGGCCGGGAGCGATTGGAGTACCTGCGCTGGAAGCAGGAGCGCGAGAAGATCGACCAGGAGCGGCTACAGAGGCACCGGAAGCCCACCGGCCAGTGGCGGCGTGAGTGGGATGCTGAGAAGACCGAGGGGATGTGAGTCTCCCCACCCTCGCTGGTCCCCAGTGGCTCCTTGACCTTAGCCCCCACGTCCACCTCCTCTGTCTTTCTCGTCTCAGTTTTCTACCCTGTGTATCAGTCAACAACTGCTCTGGTCATGCTGTGTAACTGGCGCCCCATCACAGTAGCATAAAATGGCCCCATTACCGCTCAGTGTTCCCTGGGCAGCTGGGTCCAGCGGGTCTGGCTGGATGCCCAGCGGGTGGGGGGTGGGGGTGGCTCCTGACTGCTCTGCTCCACAGGTGCTCATCCCCGCGTGCAGGCCCAGGGGATGCACTTGTCACTGCAGGGAGAGGCACCAGAGGGCGAATTGCTATGTGTCTACAGACCCAACAGCACTGGGCGGGGAGGTGAGCTCTGCCCACTGGTGGATGCTACTGCACAGCCCACAGCCAGGGGCAGGGCCGTGGATTCTGAGGGAGGGGCATGGAACTGGCAGCCATCCTTTTTATCTCCCTTCTGCCTTCCAGCCTGCCCTTCAGCCACTCGCTTCCACTTCCCTGGTCTTCTGTT